TATATTTGTTAATGAATATATGTTGATTGCATGGAAAAAGTTAACAGGGTGAATGCGAGTATGAAAACCAGTTAAATTTCAATACATAAAATATGTTTCTTAATACATGGAATGTAGCACATGAAAATCAATTCAGATTAGATTATATAATCCAGCCTCTCTTAAATAATGAAGTATATTTGAACTGACCTGTTTCCTAACTAAACGGTCAACGACTAAACGGCGTTTTCGTAGTTTTCCCCACATGTGTAACGTGGTTTCCCTTCTCCACGGTTTTATGTAACACGGTTTTCCTGTTAGTTTCCCTTCTAAAGTCTTCAGTGGACGTTTCCCTCCCCATCGGTAAATAGCTCTCGAGTTCTTTTTCCTTCATCAGTTAAATTAAACTATCTAGATTTTCGCAACCGTTGGTCTTTGACATATACTTCCAATTAAAAAAATATTAACGACGTAAATATTCATATTTGGGCAATTTAAGGCTAAAAAATAAATTTTGTGAGAAGTAAGAAATGTAACTTTTTACACGGTTTTTAGAAAGATTTCATGCTCAATATAAAAAGTAAAATGTAAAAGGTTTGACTCCCATGAAACAAAAATTACCTGAGACACTTAATATCGAAAATTTTGTTTTTTGATGTCATTTTCAACTGTTTTTGAGATGTCATACATATCATGGGTACATATTGCACAACAACTATGCAAATGTAAATAAAGTAATTTAAACTAAATTTAAAATTTTAAATAAAACGTATTTACTGTACATGAACTAGTTATAAAGAGTAAGTTCTGTATCTTATGTGCTATATTTTCAGAAATATGCACTGCAGATATTTTCAAATCCATCTACAAATTTAAGGTCAGTTTGTTTTTCTGGGGATTCAATCACTGATAGCCAAGATATGCAGCTCGTATTTTGTAACTGATCGCTAAACGTTTGCTCAAATGTCTTGAATTAATTCATTATAAACATGGAAATATTAACCTAGTCAATAAATTCATTCTGAACTATCTCGATGAATTTGACACTTAAAGGTATAAAGCTCAACTTTCATTATAATGAAATGAATAGTTTATTAACTGGAATTTGTACGCTAAAAGGATGAGTATAATAAAATTAAAATTAATTCTTGTTTAGTTTCAGCGAAGCAATATAAGCTAATACATATCTCGAAATATAATTCAACTGCTAAATTACTGATATACAAAATTCAAAATTGATCATAATATGTTTTCTAGATTAAAAAAAAGGAGGAATAAGATGTTCTATTTTGCCTCAAGTTTATGAATTAAGTTTAAATATATGCTTCCCATGTACCAATACGGTATATTCTTTTTTTTTTTTTTTTTCTTTTTTTTTTGTAAGAGCGAAATATACATGTAAACTATATTTTCACACATTCAGTTATCGATTTGTCTAACTTATAAATATCTTTCGACAATATCTATTTGGACGTTAACATAAATTATAACTTTAGCAAGCGTTTTAGGCCATTAAGTATTTATGGCTCGAGTTACACCAACCAAAACCTCATTCATAAATCACTGCAGGCGCACTTTCTGAATCCTCAATGAAGGAAAAATAGGCAGGAAGGTGGATTTTCGCTCGTCAAATTGGATCATATGCGGTTGAAGTTGTTGCGGCTTAAATACTTCTTTGCTGCCTGGTGCAGTCATGTTCGAACAATCTTCTTTGAGTGCGCTTTCAATTTAACCTATTTTGACAGCATTTCTCATGTATAATCAATATTTTTCAGCTTTAAAAAATTTAAACTTTATTTATTTATTTTTTTTTTCTTTCTTAACTGTGAATGCAACCGGCAGGATTCGCTCCCATGGTTTCATAAATAAAATTATGTCTTTTATGAGTACTTTTCAAATATATAATTAGTTTTACTTGATAAAAAATTAATTATTTTATTTTAAAATAAAATACGCTCAATATTTTCACAGAATGCAAAATTTGTGTCAACCACGCCGCATGCGACATTATTAAATGCTAAAGATACACAAAAAAGTACTGAACTGAACGCTTTACTTTTGACTTAATTTTGATATTTTAAACAGCACGCCTTATAAGTACACTTTTCAATAAATATCTTCCTTGTAGCTCATGTTTTTCTTAGTGTCGTAATATCTCTGAAGAGCATTGTATATTTTGAAGTTACTTTACACAAGAGGAACCGTGCATGCTTTATTCGTGCAGGGTAAAATAAGACAAATAATTAAGATTTTCTGAAAATGGAGTAATAAAAAATTTTTAAAAACTTTCTGATCCATAATATGAATCAAACATAGCTTAACGAGTAAAAATATTACTTCTTTTAACACTACTAACTGCCAACGTTTTTCATCAGAAATATTTTAGAGTACATACATTCAACATCAAAACATCCCGGGACACTTGGAAAGATGTTCGTACATAGTTAAATTTCACCTGAACATTGAGGCGTCAGGACAGAATAATTAAAATGAGATCGCAATCAACCCATTTATTGGGCAAACCCAGGTCCAAAATCGTTACGGGCTCCCTAGCGGATAAGTAGTAAAGTCGCTGAATAGTGGTACTTCGTTCTGGGCTCAAATCTCGTCGAACGAGCCGGCTGTATGGGCATTTTCGTAGATTTTCTATGTGCAATGTAGAAACGCGCTAGTTTACATTAGAAAGCCATCCACGAAGGCATCCTTTCACTTAAACTGTTATCCCTTACATACTTTGCCGTAATCAAACAATCCAAACTAGGCTAGAATTGTTGTTTTTTAGTATCATGTGTAATAGTATCTGGAGATAATGTAGGAAGACATTCGATGTGGCAGGAGCTTGCACAAACAGCGAATGTTGCTGTGTGGAATCATTATGCTGCTGGAAAATGGACCCCCCGCCACAGAACGAGACAGCAGTAGCGATACAACAGGTTGTTATCTGTATATTATTGTACCGTCAAAATGCTCAGAATAGTGTTCGAGTATCACAGCCAATGGCTCACCAAGTTATAGTAACATGTTGCTGAACGTAAGCCGTTTTACAATACCACAGTAGGATGGGCAGCTCTCATCAAACTTCTTTCACATGTGAATTTTGTGGTCACCTGCGTGAAACGGAAACTGAGATTCATCGCTGAATAGGATGTGGCTCCAATCTAATCCATTCTAGTCTTCTGGCGCCCCAACAGTGGCCGAGTGGTTAAGACCGCTGAATACTGGAAGTTCACACTGGGTTGATCCTAGGCAAACGGCGTGATTGCTTGATTGGGTTTTCAGCTTTCGCCATTTGTAACATGAATACAAGATCGTTTCCCTCCATGAAATTCTCCATGAAAGCATCTCTTTCGCTTAGGCAGATAGCCCTTGCATGCTTTGCCATCTCTGAATGACTTTGCCAAGCTCCGAGGCAGGGACTTCAGAATAAGTGTTGTTTCAAATGCCGTATGCTCCGTGTCTGTAGCTGACGCTGAAAACGGAGCCCAGTCCCTGCCAGGCATCTTCAAACGGTACTCCGTGACGCTGCGCTGCCAGGAGATGTGGGTAAACGGATCTAAATGGCAGATAACGAAGTTGTCTGCACTCGGTATCACGCGATCCCCTAAGAAGTTTTTCTGTTAGAAACTGGCTGCTATCCTAATAAAAGTTATCTATGTTCTGTATGAGTTACTAGTAACAACGTCGTTTAATTGTGTCATTCATCGAAACTTCATGCCAGATAATGCCTCTGTGACACCCACCTTTCATCTCTGAGAGCGGCGAAACTGCATATGCCAAACTGACTCAACTAATTGTAACCATGGATTTTATAAGAAAGATAATATTACTATTCTATTTCATATGAAGTCAGTCCATGATTATACCGTCATCGGATGGCTTTCGGGTCAGTTTCATTTTTTAACACGCTACCACATGAGCAGTCTGAACTGCCGCAACAGTTGAATAATAGGCTATATGTGTTTTGTGGTAAGCATTCCTCCTGTGTTTCAGACTCAGTTTGTAAGTTCATTGGCTCTGCATTTTCTACCATTTTCATGTTTGGCTAAAGATGTATGTGCACTCAGTTTCCAGACTGTAAGATGATTTTTGCAAGTTTGGAGAAATTTTTTGTCCCAAATGTATTATGTATCTTTACTCCAGAACATCTTTTTAATTATTTCTGTACTTACTATCTTTCTCTTTTTCTTCCTCGTAATTACAAAAATCCTTCTTAATCTCAGAAATGCTTCTAAATCATACTCAATAAGGTATTTCTCTTGCCTTCCTAGTGTAGTGGTCAGCACACTGAGCTGGTATTTCAGAGATCCGTGGTTCGATTCCCGGCGAAGGCGGTTGCATATTTTTCATCTTTCCTGATTCCAATTAACCTAATGACTCTGCAAGTGGCGCCCGAACTAAAAGGGTCGTGGATGATGAATCTCCGCACCCAGGATTTTGCGATTGGGTCCTCTAAAAACCCAGTCGTCCTTTAAAAGGGAGAGTATATAAGGTATTACTCCCACTTTCCTAGCGTGCATTCGTGGTGTAATGGTCAGTATACTGAGCCGTTATTTCAGAGGTCCGTGGTTCGATTCCCGGCGAAGGCGGTTATATATTTTTCATCTTTCCTGCTTCCAATCAACCTAATGACTCTACAACTTTACGCTATTTCTGAAAGGGAAATATTGCCTGATAGATTTGGGCAAAAAAATACATTATAGCAAGATCATATAGGCCGCCAGTATACACTGAGGAATGTCTTCGGAGAGGCCTTTCTAATGGAATTATCCTCATATTTATGTTTTATTTCAGAAAAGCCACGGAAAGTTCGTACAGCCTGTCCCATCTAGGCATAAAACTCAGGGTGAAAGAATAATGTTTAACGGCTTTATCTGGTAAGCCACTGATCCACGGGAAAAAAAATGCGAAGGAGTTTTTAATTTTCTTACATATAATAATATGAATTATTCCTACACAATGTTTGCTTTGTTTCAACTTGTATAACTGTTTACATAACTTTTAAATTTTACTTACTTTTTCAGAACCAATTGCAATAGACAGAAAAACAGTGGTATGCCCATTTATTGATGTTATTGACTATGAGACTTTAGCCTATCGAGCTCAGGATGAAGGCGCACGGGGTGCCTTTGACTGGGAACTTTACTACAAAAGACTACCACTCTTACCTGAAGACTTGAAACACCCATCTGATCCATTCAAGTAAGCTTTTTTTCCTCCTGAAAGAGAAACTTTTCTTCATACTTTTTTCCCCGCAACGTCAAAACCAGTCACGTCTATTCAAAACTTCTCCATAGCTTTAGGGAATTGGATAATCATAGGGCTACAAGAAAAACGCCTGAATCATTTAAAAGGGAGAATATGCAAAAACTTTTACTGTCTGTGAAAAAGGTTGAAACTTTTTTTTTTTTTTTTTTTTTTTTTTTTTTTTTTTTTTTTTTGTAGAATTAACTTCTCACAAAGAATAATAGATGGTTTAGAAATACTAAGTAACGCATGTTCTTCGCCCAAAAAACAAAATGCTAATTATACTCCAGTAAGCTTTATTGGACCGGGGATCATCTTACATGTCTTGAAAATCTGAGAAACATAAAACGTAAGAAGTGCTTTGAATAGGAAATGCTTTGAATAGCAGGTGACTTGTTTAAATTGGTGAATTTTGCTTTTGCTTTTGCATTTAGCCATCTTTTCCTGAAGATGCTATTCTCAAGTCTTTCATTACACATCGACAGAATATGTGAATTTTGTAGGGCTAATTCTTTAGAAAATCAAGTTTATATTTGACGGAATAATACAATAATTTTAAAAGGTTATTCCCAAATGTAGTTAGCAATGTGGATAACCAAAAAATAATGTTAAAAGCATTAATTAAATCATGCATGTCAAATTTATTATTTCTCAAAAGTAATGTAAAATTTCCACTTGGAAGAAAAAAAAGTTGTATACGCATTTATGATTACATCTTTGGTATCGAAAACCAACTGAAATATTTGCTATTTGGGAAAAGACGGGAGATGATTTTGAAGTTGCGCTACGAAAGTAATAATGATAGGGAAAATACCGCTCATAATTCATAATCAAAAATAAGTTTCGAAACGTTGTTACACAAATAATTATCAGTTAAATAAATGGATCTTTTTATTTCCTTGTACTAGGTAAAGAATGTATTGTAATCTCGATACTTTTCTATTCTCAGATTCCAACAAAAATATCCATTTTGACCATTCACGAACCAGTTTTAATTATTTTTTGCGTGATGTCTGTACGTACGGATTGAATAAAGAATTCTTTATTTCAAAATGGATTCTAAAATGCTTTCAAAATGAATTTTGCTCTTTTGACGTCTGTACATATGTATGTATGAATGTACATACTTATGCATTTTGCGTAATTAAATCTGTTGAAATATTGTATATGGAACTGCTATAGCACCTTTCTGATTTTTACCCCCTTGTACGAAGTAAACGAAGCATCCTAAGTTGTAAGAGATGAAAAACACATTTAATTTAAAGATAATCAGTATGTGTATTGACCCCGTTAAAGCGAAATATTTAAATATGCGATGAGAAATCAATGTTGAAAATCTGAAGGAACTTTATCATCAATGGCCAAAATTTTGAATGCCAGTCTATATTTCCCAGCACTGGCCTTGCATGAGTAGCAATTTGAGTCTGTAAACTTGATAAAAGCAACAAGTGCATAAATTACACATTTTTAATTAGCTCTATTCCGTTTTCAATAGCATTTTTTTCATGGCGTCATCAAAATAGAACGAAATTCTGGAGGGACCAATGATGAGTATATCTTGTCTTTTGTTGTCTTTTAGTTAACCCAATTTTTAGAATAATCCCTATAAACTTTAACTTTCAAAGCAAGTCATGAAACATGATTGGCATCAAACATAAAGTATGATGATATTCTTATATGAATTTTTTAATATAAGTGAAGATGCAAAACCTCATATAAATAATCTGTATGATTTGGATGGCTTTGCATAATAAAGCGTAGTGTGCCAAACTAAAGCAACAGTTTCATTTTTCCAAGGTACACCAAGAAATTTTTGGAAAGGTCTTTTCGCCAGCTGTAAAATGAAACCCCAGCTCAGTAAAAAGGTGATGTGTATATCAACATCACCTTTCTACTGAGGTGCCCTGATCCTGATATCAAATATCAGCATCAAGACGTCAGAGGATACGTCAGGGTACGCAAAACGCGAGTAGTCAGCGAGCGCAATGCAAGGCAATTTAAAAAGAATAAAGGAAGGCGCATTTCCAGGCATTCTTCTGTAAGTGAAAGTGAGATTATATGTACAACTATATCTAGAAGGAAACTTTAGGACGCCTTTACACCTGGTAGAATGAATGGGGCGTAGTTTGACAACTGTCGCTCAAAAGTTTAGTATTGATGAAAATGTTATTTCACGAGTTTAGCAATACTTTCAAACGAGACATACAGCTGTAAGAAAGATTGTTTTTTGTCAGCCAAAGAAAACAACGTTAAGAGATGTTTGATATGTCGCCCTGCAGGAGAAAGGAGATCAAAATTAGACAACGGGTAACAATGCTCAGTAGATGCGCATGGCAACCAGACGACAAGTGTCCCGGTTTACTCTGACTAGATGACTTCATAAAGGCATTATAATACCCTGCTGTCCTGAACGCTGAATACCACTAACAACAGCCCATCCGTGGCACCGTTTACAGTGTGTAGAGAACACAAAGGTGAACACCTCATTAATGGAGGTACGTCCTGTGGGTGTAGGCACGTTATGTGTGTTAGACTGAACGACAAGCGGCGTTTCAGTCTAACATTAGATTCTCCGTGTTAGTTGATATGAAAAGAGGTAGAGACACACTTTGATTCTACTAACAACAGGGAAGGAGACCGTTAGAGTTGTTTTGGCGTGCTTGTATGTGGAGGCATTATGATGAACGAACGGACGGCGCTTCACATTTTCGACAGAGGTTTACTTATCGGAAATTATTAGTGTGATGAAATTATCCTCCTCAGGTGCATCTTTTCCCTGATTGCCATTGGTCATGACTATTTTATGGATAACAATGCACAATGCTTGGCCACACAGGACTCATGCTGTTGAGGAACACCCGAAAAATGAAGTTATCCACAGAAAGGATTGGCCAGCGTACACCTCTGATTTAAATCCCACTGAACATGCGTGTGATGCTTTAGAGAAATGCATGAGGGCTCGATCTTACCCTCCTTAGTGCAACAGACAACTAAAAAAAGGATAATCCTTGAAAATTTTAAACTTTTATCACAAGAACTGTTAGAAACCCTGACTTTGAATGTCTACATACGGTGCAACGCAACCATTGCAGTTTGGGGGAGGTCATATTCCTTACTAAAGCTGTTTAATTTGTTGCTTTCCAGATACTTTTCTGTACCAACGCCATACTGCCAATAAAGCCTTTCTTTATTCTTTCCATATTCTATGCATCTTATTCTTTTTTGTTACCATACTTTCCTCATCTTGTAAGTACTACATAGTGCCTCTGTAGTTATGAATTTCATGTCTCTCTCTTGATTACAAATTACGGCCCAAATCAGAAAAGTTGCTTAAATTTTGCACACTAGTATATATATCCAGTTCAAACAACGTTCTATTGCAGGAGCATTTATGACAATACTCAGTTGAAGCAGCAATGTCTGCAAGCTCGAAATAATATTTACAGTTAAACAGGGCTAACTGAAAAGTACTAAGAAGCAATATCAGCAAGATTATAATCGTTTACGTAATAAGGATTTACGAACAAAACACGCTAGGTAAAATTTAAGATTCGCCACTATGGAAAGTATTAATATCCAAAATAAAGGAGTGTATCATTTATCCGTATTTCCTATATTTTTCGAGCATCTGCTATTTGAGTAATATGTAGCTGAATATTTTTAATACTTACAAAAAATGGAGAGAAATTTAGGCATTAGTTTCTCTAGCGCTCCATATATTACTTACCTATCGCATAAATGTTTCTTGGAACAATTCAGCATATGAATAACTGGATGGGGCTCCAGAAGACAGCAGATGGGAATGCTTTTATTAAGAATAACGTGTACAATTATTTCAACAGCAAAAATGATTCAGAAATTAAATCACATATATTGATTCATATATAGTCTAATATATTTTTCAATTTACTGTTCAAAAAATGAACTATATAAATTTTAATTTTGTAGAAGCCCTGTGATGGCCGGAGGATTATTTGCAATCGATCGTAGTTTCTTTTGGGAGCTTGGTGGATACGATGATGGCCTGGATGTGTGGGGAGGCGAGCAATATGAACTTTCCTTTAAGATATGGCAATGCGGAGGGCAAATGCTTGACGTGCCTTGTTCCAGAGTGGGGCATATCTACCGAAAATTTGCTCCCTTTCCAAACCCAGGATTAGGCGATTTCGTAGGCAGGGTAAGTTGTATTTTTTTCAATTTTTACGTTTAAGTACTATGTGTGCAACAAGGCCTACTAACAGCATGCAATTTTAATAAGTTTTTATCAAATTGAAATTGTCTATATCTCCCATTTCATTACTGATAGTATTTACAACTATTTCCCAAAGATAAATAATAGCTGATGTTTTTACCTCATTTTTTATTATAGAAAACAGAATAGTAACAAGGAATTTATCTTAACTTTATAGCGATTTTCCCTACGTGTAAAGTAAATAAATATCCCAGTTTTAATTAGGAGGTACTTATCGAAAAGATTGTTACGAAAACGGTATTAGTACAAAAACTTCTCATAATACAAAATATAAATTTTCATAGTGTAGTATAAAATTAAAGCATTCACATGAAATATAGAGTAAAAGAAATTCAGTACTTTACTCTTATCAAACTAGATATTAGCCTAAGTTAATGTACTCCCAGTTAATGTACTAAAATTCATAAGTTGCTTCTCAAATGCGATTTCTTTAAATTTTCTTATTCAACAGAAAGCACCAAATTTCTGTCGGAATGTAGAAAATAATTTTTTACAATCTTCAAAAATTCCAAGAGCTTTAAAAACTAAGAGATCTGCAAAATTTTGACATCTACTTATCGGAATTTTATAAACATTTAAAACTTATAACATTTAAAATCCCTACAATAGTAAAAATATACGTAAGGTTTTTATATTCACTAGTTAAAAATATACGCATACGAGTTTGTAATGAATTGAATGCACAAGTCCGATGCAAACTGAATACATTTTTTTCTTATCACAACAAATAAAATCAAAACGCTTAAATTTCCTTAGAGATATTCGTACAATATCCCAATATCTCACAGTTGTTATCTTTTAAACTACTAAGACGTTCAGCAGAACCTAATTCAAAAACAGAGAAAGCTAATCTGATTTCACTGCGAATTCGCTACAGTAAACGACAACAGTTTTACAAACAACTGCTAAATAACTGAATTGAGATGTTTCCTTCCACCTTTTATAAGCTTTTGAAATGCACGAGAAACTTCTCGTATTTTCTCGATACTTCTGGGTATTAAAAGAGTACAATTACGAGATATATATTATTAAAATGTTAGACGGACGTTCTCCTGTATTTTTAATTTTTCGGCGTAGCTTTTTCTTCCAATAAGACTCGTGCTGTATTGCACGGGGGAATAAAACAATTTTAATTAAAAGTTATACTGAAATAGCTAAATAAATTCAAAAATCTGTAATAATATTTTAATTTAGAAATTACTGCTCTTTTATTTTTAGCTATTTTTACACTGTGACTGAACCTTAAGAGATTATCAACTTCTGCCTTATTTTCAGGCAAATGGCTGTTGTGCGTTTTTAAGTAGTAAGTTAACCTTTCTAAAGTTTCTCCAATTACCTTAAAGCAGCGTTTCTCAAACTCTATCCCTCGAAGGCTACCCTTATGGCCCTTCTAGATCTGTAAATATGTAGTGTTATTAGTAAAGAAAATTAATAAGATTTTACATCATTTCCTGCCGATGGTATGTTGTTAAATTGACTGACATATCTTTCAGATATACTCTCAAAACTAAATTAACTAAATCTCTGTCTACAAAGTAATTCTATGACTATTTTCGATGTCTACGTAAAATAAAAGAGGTTTAAGAAGAAACTTGGCTTGTGGGTTAACTATGTAAAACAGAGAATCATTTCACCATTTCCAACCTTGTAATCCATTTTAGTAGAAAACTATATCTTTATTGGAAATGAATTATGTAATGACATGTATCTTGACACTCTGAGAAACTTAATTTCCAAATGGTATATATAACAATTTTCACGGGTTCATGATCCTTCTATTACGATTTTGGAAACAACAATCCGTCTCTGAATGAAAGAGAATAGATAACTGAACTCTCTAATGACTTACAATGAAATTCCAAGCAGAAGGTTGGGTTAATTTCTGGATTTCATTATCAGTGAAAACGGTGGTGATCTGTACAATGATTCTTTAAAAATAATAGTTCATCTTGCTCCTACGTGTCTGTGTTATCGCCCCTAATTTAAATAGACACAAAGAATCGAAATTGACTTGTAAGTTCCAAACTCAGATTTACGTTTCTGAGCAAACATCCAAACATAGAACAGATACACGAGAATCGGAAAGCTCCTTTATATCATTAATGTGAATATCAACATTTGCGTAATTTTTAGTTATTAAAATTAAGGTTATCGAAACTCTATTAGCCTTACATTATTAAAAATAAGTATAACTTTTCTTCTATTAACCTAATTGATAAATACTAATATAAAATTAAATGAGTTTTAATGAGTTATATTTTAAAAATATAAGTGTACTGGATATATGTTATGTATATGTTAAAAATTGCTTCTGAAAGATATAAGAGTAAGGCGATTCGTAGAACGCTTGAACTTATAAAGGTGGTTCCTACAAAAAAACCTATTCTGAGAAACTTAGCTTAGGATTTAATCTGAGCCTAATATATAGATAATTTCTGTTTGATTGTGAGGATTATTAATCGACAGAGCATTGTGCCATAAAATAAATTGTAATTTTCTTTGTTATAGCCATCTTAAGCAAAATTTTGTTGTAGAATTTTAAGGTCTAGCGAAATTTTAAAACTTAAAAATTTTCTATAAGGCCTTATTAAGAAATACATTCAGATTTTACTTGCTGTAAATTATCTTGCATATTTTATTTGATAATTTTATCTACTGCAGTTAATGTGTTTTCTAAATGTATTCACGGATGTAATGACATGACAACAAGCTATATATACCGCTCATGCTCGACACTCTTCGTTTTTTCTCTAAATCTTACCTGTGCAGGACGCGGAAAGCTTTGAAAACGAAATTGACTGTTATTTATGTAGAAAGTAACATAATACCTGCTCTGTAGTTAGCACTTTCTACTATACAGAATACAAGCCAATATGAAGAAATGTGCTCAGTGGTTTTAGTCTAACAACTATTCGATGACACGAAAGGAAAACGACCCATTCCTCAGCAGGTAAAGTAACATAGAAAATAATTGCATGTATTCTACTTTCTTTATCCCTTGTTTAATGAAACCAGTTAGCCCTTTTTAGTAGACATCGTATTCCCAAAAGCTCTTACTTGGCCTTTATATTTTCAATCGTTGATCATAGACATATATTTCAAATTACAAAAATGATTTAAATGATGCATTTTTGCATCATGATTTAAATGATTATTTAAATGATGCTAATACTACAGCTTCGTGAGAATATTAATAACATATTTTTAATTTTTGTAAACTTATAAACCACTTCCAAAAAATTTCTTTCGGCATACCAGTTGCAACAAAATTATGAATTATAGAATGTTACACGTAGTAAATCGTAAAGAATACCATTGAATGGTTTTTAAGAGAGAAACCTAACCTGGGGTTATTCTAATTTATTTATGAATCGAACCCTTAAAACAAGTGAAAAATAACATCAAATACCCCAGATTTTGAAATTAAGTATCTCGGTCAATTTAAGTTGTACGGCTGTCAAACTTTTTTTAAAATTTTATATAGTAAGTATGAAAATTTCCTAAAAATAAGCACAAAATTCGAAAAGCTTATTAAAAGTTATATTTTGCAATTTTCATAAAACTGGTGATCTTATCATATTTAAAAATGCCTAAACATGAAGAGCAGCACAATTTATATCATTTTTGCATGTGGAAGGATATATCTACAAACGACGGTTTCGAAAATAAAAACCTCGTAAGGACTTTTTTTGGACATGGTGTAATGTCCTTCTACCCTTGTAATGTCCATCGTCTTTTTTTTTTTTTTTTTTTTTTTTTTTTTGTTTGTTTGTTTTTTTAAATCAGAGTTTTGTTCAGTAGATTGGTTTCGATTATTATCAAAAAGCTTGTGACTCAGTTTAGAAGAAAGTCCAAATAAAAAATTTTCAAATTGCTATGCTAACGCATAAGGCTTCTAATTAGTATTTTTCTAAAATTGGCATTAACCTAAATCTCGGTTTTCATCCATGCGCTATAAACCAAACCAGAACTAACTTTTGGTAATTTCACAAATTTAACAACTAGGTGAATGGTTTCCCTTAAGAAAAGCAGTTTAAGTAATACAGATGTCATATACTAAAAAAAATATTAAAAACTAAAGACCTAAATATTCTTCATGATGACTAGGTGGGATACTCTAATACACATTAAAATAAATGAAACAAAATACTTATGACAATGAAATAAAATTTTACTTTTAGCCCCACAATCAAAATGAGATAAATTTTTTTAAAGTTAAACGCAAACCATATTTTTGATTTTTTATCTTAAAGGTATAGAGACGACATATACAGCATGAAGAATTAAACGACATTAAATCTAAGAAATATAAATCAATTTCATCATCTGCTCTGTGTGTCAAAGTAAATTAAAACTGTCTCATTGCTGTATCACATTTCATATTCCAGGAATATACAGCTTTGACATAGGGAAAGTTAAATTTTTTTTTTGTAGTCTAGGAATGTGAGAATATTTTTCTGAGTAATTTACTTCTTTGTACAAAATTTTGTTATCAAGTTTCGCATTTCTTTTCATTTGCAGTTTAGTTCTAATATGCTTAATTTTAGTGTCATTTCCTTAACTTCTTTCTTAATTAGTTTTCTTAAAATTACAATTTGAAGTAGGTTACTTAAAGTAGTAACACTGTTCGAATGTACTGTTAAACTGAGAATTTCAGATCTTCTTTGGCAATGACTATATACTGGGTACATTTAATACATCTTAAAGAAAGAAGGATATATACATATAAATGATAACTAAATGTGTATCGTATATTCCTGCGTATAACGCGCACTTTAATACAAAAATTAAAATCTAAATTGCGTATATGCCGGATATAAAACCGTTCGATACTTAGGTACATACGATTTTAATGTAAATAATGATTCAAGATGTTTACGCTACGCATTCGTACTGTTGTTTAGCGGTTAAATTTAAATCGTAAA